GTTCCATTGGAATCCTTGGAAGTGCCATTGGGATTCTCAGTGGTTCCATTGGGATTCTCCATGGTTCCATTGGAATCCTTGGAAGTGCCATTGGGATTCTCAGTGGTTCCATTGGGATTCTCCATGGTTCCATTGGAATCCTTGGAAGTGCCATTGGGATTCTCAGTGGTTCCATTGGGATTCTCCATGGTTCCATTGGAATCCTTGGAAGTGCCCTTGGGATACTTGGGGGTTCCATTGGGATTCTCCATGGTTCCATTGGGATTCTCCATGGTTCCATTGGGATGCTCGGCAGTGCCACGGGAGTCCTTGGAAGGGCAGTTGGGATACTTGGGGGTTCCATTGGGATGCTGCTGGGATCCCTGGGATGCTTGGGAGTGCCACTGGAATCCTTGGAAGTGCCATTGGGATTCTCTGTGCGTCCATTGGGGTTCTCCATGGTTCCATTGGAATCCTTGGAAGTGCCACTGGGATTCTCCATGGTTCCATTGAGATGCTTGGGAGTGCCATTGGAATCCTTGGAAGTGCCGTTGGGATTCTCAGTGGTTCCAATGGGATTCTCCATGGTTCCATTGGGATGCTCAGCAGTGCCACTGGAATCCTTGGAAGTGCCATTGGGGTGCTCAGTTCTTCCGTTGGGATTCTCCATGGTTCCATTGGGATGCTGCTGGGATCCTTGGGATGCTTTGGAGTGCCACTGGAATCCTTGGAAGTGCCATTGGAATTCTCTGTGGTTCCATTGGGATTCTCCATGGTTCCATTGGGATGCTTGGGAGTGCCACTGGAATCCTTGGAAGTGCTTTTGGGATACTCTGTGGTTCCATTGGGATCCTTGGTGATTCCATTGGGATGCTTGAGAGTGCCAATGGAATCCTTGGCAGTGCCACTGGAATCCTTGGAAGTGCCACTGGGATTCTCCATGGTTCCACTGGGATTCTCCATGGTTCCATTGGGATTCTCCATGGTTCCATTGGGATGCTTGGCAGTGCCACTGGAATCCTTGGAAGTGCCGTTGGGGTGCTCAGCGGTTCCATTGGGGTTCTCCATGGTTCCATTGGAATCCTTGGAAGTGCCGTTGGGATTCTCCGTGGTTCCATTGGGATTCTCCATGGTTCCATTGAGATGCTTGGGAGTGCCACTGGAATCCTTGGAAGTGCCGTTGGGATTCTTCGTGGTTCCATTGGGATTCTCCATGGTTCCATTGGGATTCTCCATGGTTCCATTGAGATGCTTGGGAGTGCCACTGGAATCCTTGGAAGTGCCGTTGGGATTCTCCGTGGTTCCATTGGGATGCTCAGCAGTGCCAATGGAATCCTTGGAAGTGCCACTGGGATACTTGGGGGTTCTATTGGGATTCTCCATGGTTCCATTGGGATGCTGCTGGGATCCTTGGGATGCTCACAGTGCCACTGGAATCCTTGGAAGTGCCATTGGGATTCTCTGTGCTTCCATTGGGGTTCTCCATGGTTCCATTGGAATCCTTGGAAGTGCCTTTGGGATTCTCTGTGGTTCCATTGGGATTCTCCATGGTTCCATTGGGATGCTTGGGAGTGCCACAGGAATCCTTGGAAGTGCCACTGGGATTCTCTNTTGGGATTCTCCATGGTTCCATTGGGATGCTCAGCAGTGCCACTGGAATCCTTGGAAGTGCCATTGGGATTCTCCATGGTTCCATTGGGATGCTCGGAAGTGCCATTGGAATCCTTGGAAGTGCCATTGGGATTCTCTGTGCTTCCATTGGGATTCTCCATGGTTCCATTGGGATGCTTGGGAGTGCCACTGGAATCCTTGGCAGTGCCATTGGAATCCTTGGAAGTGCCATTGGAATCCTTGGAAGTGCCATTGGGATTCTCTGTGGTTCCATTGGGATTCTCCATGGTTCCATTGGGATGCTGCTGGGATCCTTGGGATGCTCGGCAGCGCCGTGGGAATCCTTGGAAGGGCCGTTGGGATTCTCCATGGTTCCATGGGATGCTCGGAAGTGCCACGGGAATCCTTGGAAGTGCCATTGGGATTCTCCATGGTTCCACTGGGATGCCTGGCAGTGCCATTGGAATCCTTGGAAGTGCCATTGGAATTCTCTGTGGTTCCATTGGGATTCTCCATGTTTCCATTGGGATGCTTGGGAGTGCCATTGGAATCCTTGGAAGTGCCATTGAGATACTCAGGGGTTCCATTGGGATTCTCCATGGTTCCATTGGGATGCTGCTGGGATCCTTGGGATGCTCGGCAGTGCCACTGGAATCCTTGGAAGTGCCCTTGGGATACTTGGGGGTTCCATTGGATGCTGCTGCGATCCCTGGGATGCTTGGGAGTGCCATGGGAATCCTTGGAAGGGCCGTTGGGATACTTGGGGGTTCCGTTGGGATGCTGCTTGGTTCCCTGGGATGCTTGGCAGTGCCACTGGAATCCTTGGAAGTGCCACTGGGATTCTCTGTGGTTCCATTGGGGTTCTCCATGGTTCCATTGGAATCCTTGGAAGTGCCCTTGGGGTGCTCAGTGCTTCCATTGGGATTCTCCATGGTTCCATTGGGATGCTTGGCACTGCAACTGGAATCCTTGGAAGCGCCATTGGAATCCTTGGAAGTGCCATTGGGGTTCTCTGTGGTTCCATTGGGATTCTCCATGGTTCCATTGGGATGCTGCTGGGATCCTTGGGATGCTCGGCAGTGCCACTGGAATCCTTGGAAGTGCCTTTGGGATTCTCCATGTTTCCATTGGGATGTTTGGGAGTGCCACTGGAATCCTTGGCAGTGCCACTGGAATCCTTGGCAGTGCCATTGGGATTCTCCATGGTTCCGTTGGGATGCTCGGCAGTGCCACTGGAATCCTTGGAAGTGCCCTTGGGGTGCTCAGTGCTTCCATTGGGATTCTCCATGGTTCCATTGGGATGCTGCTGGGATCCCTGAGATGCTTGGGAGTGCCACTGGAATCCTTGGAAGTGCCATTGGGGTGCTCAGTGCTTCCATTGGGATTCTCCATGGTTCCACTGGGATGCTCAGCAGTGCCACTGGAATCCTTGGAAGTGCCATTGGGATTCTCAGTGGTTCCATTGGGATTCTCCATGGTTCCATTGGGATGCTGCTGGGATCCTTGGGATGCTCACAGTGCTGTTGGGAATCCTTGGAAGTGCTTTTGGGATACTCAGGGGTTCCATTGGGATTCTCCATGGTTCCATTGGGATGCTTGGCAGTGCTACGGGAATTCTTGGAAGGGCTGTTGGGATACTTGGGGGTTCCATTGGGATGCTGCTGGGATCCTTGGGATGCTTGGCAGTGCCACTGGAATCCTTGGAAGTGCCCTTGGGGTGCTCAGTGGTTCCATTTGGATTCTCCATGGTTCCATTGGGATGCTTGGCAGTGCCACTGGAATCCTTGGAAGTGCCACTGGGATTCTCTGTGGTTCCATTGGGATTCTCCATGGTTCCATTGAGATGCTTGGGAGTGCCACTGGAATCCTTGGCAGTGCCATTGGAATCCTTGGAAGTGCCATTGGGATTCTCTGTGGTTCCATTTGGATTCTCCATGGTTCCATTGGGATGCTCGGGAGTGCCACTGGAATCCTTGGAAGTGCCCTTGGGATACTTGGGGGTTCCACTGGGATTCTCCATGGTTCCATTGGAATCCTTGGAAGTGCCGTTGGGATTCTCAGTGGTTCCATTGGGATTCTCCATGGTTCCATTGGGATGCTCGGCAGTGCCACTGGAATCCTTGGAAGTGCCCTTGGGATACTTGGGGGTTCCATTGGATGCTGCTGGGATCCTTGGGATGCTCGGCAGTGCCACTGGAATCCTTGGAAGTGCCTTTGGGATTCTCCATGGTTCCATTGGGATGCTGCTGGGATCCCTGAGATGCTTGGGAGTGCCATGGGAATCCTTGGAAGTGCCATTGGGATTCTCCATGTTTCCATTGGGATGCTTGGCAGTGCCACGGGAATCCTTGGAAGTACCATTGGGATACTCAGGGGTTCCACTGGGATTCTCCATGGTTCCATTGGGACGCTGCTGGGATCCTTGGGATGCTCACAGTGCTGTTGGGAATCCTTGGAAGTGCCGTTGGGATCCCCGGTGGTTCCATTGGGATTCTCCATGGTTCCATTGGGATGCTACTGGGATCCC